TTTAAGCAACGAAATCATTATGTTGGTGGCTCACTTGTAGCGATTTATCCAAGGAGTGTTCAATTGGTGTTTTCCCGAAAACTTTCTCTGTGTTAACTGCCTGCAAGTGAGCTTTAGATATTACATGTCGTTTCACTACTTTATGCAAATTATTTAAATCCGCAAAACCGCTGCAATTCCAAACCCGGTTTTCATTGACGAAAAGCAAACAAGGCCAGCAAAACAGTTAGTCTCTGATCTCACAACCTGTAAGCCACTCATACCGCCAATAAGATTTTTTCGAATTGAAATGTCGCATAGAAGTATGTATTTTTTGCCAGTCAAGTTTTTTATCTCAGACTTTGCCCTATTTTTATTTATTATGTTCGATTTTTCAATAAAACTCTGAGAATTGAACCCTTTGTCCAACCTGGAACACCCCACACATTTACATAACTGTACAGTCTTAACTCATCACTTTTTGAATTTCGAATAGTCGAAGAAGGCCAAGTGCCATTGTGTCAATTAATATTTTGCAACTTGACCTGTAGATTTTTTTATTTTACCCTAAATATTTAATATGTAAACCGAGAAGCAGTCCGAAATTTTCCATATCGAAGCTCGGGCCTAAGACTCGTGATGCGTCTACGGTCCCCTGCATGGCTTATGAACTTTATGACAAAGATATAACCTCATGATTTTATTATTTCCTGAAGCTCTCGAGTTTGAAGAGCGCGTCATGCTATGCAATATTTCTTCCTTATTTTATTTAGCTTCGAGTGCTGCTTACAACCCTTGGAAAGATTGAAGAAAGAGTCGTATTGCCATGCCTATTTTCTTATGGATGATCGATCTTTTTAATTAGGATGTTGCGGATTATTACGAAATGAATAAGATAAAATAATATAATGATTTTTAAAACTTTCGGTTGGTGATTTATCTAAGAGAATGCTTGCTTCCATGGACGGCACTCCCCTGGTAAACTGGAATCAAAAAATCCAGTTTTTATTATACTAATCTCAGTGTTCTAAAAATTTGCTTAAAGAATAATGTTTCGTGGCACGATTATGTGAAATGAAAACGAACGAATGAATGAAACGAAAAATGTATTGMGWTTTTTCAATTAAATTCTAATTTTMAAATTTGTGAACYAATGAAACGGGTTAACTACGTATATACAGGTGATAAATTATTATTAAGTTTTMAATATGCACTCTCTATCCTTATTTGTTACTGTTATTTGCTAAAATAAGAAATTAGATATAAATAGGTGTTCATTTTACCACCAAAGTATAATACACCCAGTGTAATATGCACGTATCATTAAAACTATGTTTTATGAGTAATACCTGTTTGGAGCTATGCATATTTGATTTAATTTGGCGATCAATGATTACACTTCAGACTACTAGTTTTGAATTTCAACCTATCGATTGTCTACATTACCAATAGTGGCTACTTAATTAGGATCACCCTCTTTCAGTTTAGGCAAATCAATGCATATCATTATAGAGAATGTTCTACACAAGAAAGTTCCAGGTCATTAAAGGGTTATCCAGAAACAATGGTATCTGGGATATTTGCAAATTTATCTACCTCGACTGTATACGATTATTTCAGGACAAAAGGTCCCACTAATGCATAACACAAAGCGTGCGGTGGACTGCTTAATTTTCGGCTTTGTTTTTGACCCATTTTCAGGCGTTTAATAGAGTTGAAGCAGCAACGTTTTGTAGCAATTCAAATTTAGAATTGAGATGATTTTTACAATGACCGCATTAAAAATTATGTAGTTAAAAAAAATGAAAAGCAGGAGTACATATTGTGACTCAAGAAGTAAAACGCGTTTCTTTGAAATAATTTCTCCAGCCTACTTGGAGAATACGTGAATGGGGAGAAAAGGGTTGACTTGATTTTTTAAAGATATTAGTTTTTCAGAATACAATTCCAATTGTGTGACAACTGTTAACAAAATAAATGTTACACTGCCAAATTTGCCCCAATTTTGGAACTGGATAAATTGTAACTGCGGCGAGTGATTTTATTTCTGGTATTGTCTAGTACAATTCTTTTGATACCCGCTCTTGTTTCCTCAAAAAAATTAGTCCTTTTGCCAGAATTTTCTAGAGGGATGCAAATGAAACAATGCAACATTTCTGAAACTTTGGCATGCTCCCAATTGAGCAAACAATATATTTTTTGGATTTCAACATCAAAGGCATGAGGGGATAGTACCTCATATCTCAAAGCGATTTTATATTTCATTGCCTATCTGTTTTATTTACAAGCTGATGTCACAAAATCACATTTTTCCTCTTGCATCGATTTTCAAAATCTACAGCTCTTAATCCATGGAAAAGATATACACATATTATAAATCTCCGTTATGGAGTTGCCGAACAAATGTTTTTGTTCGCTCATCGTTTATTTTTTTCGTTAAACTTTGAGCCTGTGATTTACATTGGCCAAATAAAAATTGTCGAGGACCATTTAAAAAAATCAGCGCGTTGATATTTTTGAAATAAACTAAAAAATAGAATTGAATCCGAATTCGAATCCGATTAAATGGAGAGCAGGATTCAATCAATGCTTTCATTGATTAAATGGTAGAGGAATAATATCATTTGCATATGGAAATTACCTTGCGCCTATTTCCGCTTCACATCTGCTGTAAAACAAGTGAAATTGATTGAATAATTGAATATGCGTTAGTCTCTTGACGTCAGCCAGTTCATGCTAGATTAAGTAAAAAATACCATTTTTCCATATTTTAACTTGTACAATTTTCTTTGCTTTTGACTGTTTCAATTAAAGTTTATTGTTTTAGTGAAAATACTGCAATTACTTATTAGGAGTTATCTTTTTTCAAATATTTATCGTGTTGCATGCTCCAGTGATTACTATCACATGTTGGCGCATTATGATCCTAATTTCTCAAGTTCAGAAAGTCATTGAATTTTCATCGTATCCATTTACTTATGTATCCATCAGCTTTCAATAAAAACCATTCAGCAGCTTTACATATAATTCCTAATTAAAATTACATCTGTTCTATTCAGTGGGGACGTCAGGATTCCATCACGAATTTGTTTTATATTCCGTGTACCTAAAAGTATACCCGTCAGTATACCACTCTGCAATTCTCTGATAGCAAATGGAAAATGCAAAAATTTTAATCAGCCTTTCTCCTGAAGGCATGCATGATTGTGTTTGGCAAATTGATTACTTTTGATATCCTGTCCGCTTACATTCATTTCGTTAATTACATTATTATATTCACTGAAATATTATATTGAGTGTAGGATAAAGATGCTTTATAAGTGAAGTAAAGTGAACATATAGTTTTTATCCTAAAAAAACGATGGTTTCAAATGTATAGTGATTGATATGCCAGGTGGGAAGCAGCGTCTCCAATTCGTAATATTGTGTGTTCTCATAGCAGGTTTTTGTCTTGATTGAAGCCCCATTAATTTTTTAAATATTACCGAAGTTGCGATCCTCTTCGTCTGATTAAATATATATTACTTCTTAATGAGTACAGATAAACGTATACAAAATAGCACACTTTATTTGTTGTTCAATTTATATTAAAATTTGATGAGTTTATTACTTTTGAATCAATATTCGAAGCAATTTCGATTTACTGTTAACTGAGGAAATTAATAATAACTGAAAAAATCCCTGAGGAAATTAATGAGCGAAAGCGTGGAACAGAAAAATGCGAAAATCATTAAAAAAACGTAAATGTAAAGTTATAATACAATACAAGCGTACGTCAAAATACAAGCGTACGTCAAAACCCCCTTCAGACGCTGAAGATCTGAACTAGATCTCCCTTAAAATTGCGTTTGCATGCTAAACTCGGCGGAATAAAGCTATAAAAACTTTTATATTTCATAGTACAATATATCAAACAAAGGGCTCCCCAACGTACAGAACATGACAGTATCGGCAAATGTATTTCTTGCTCTTTTGTAAAACTGAATTAATTTGAATGATTTATTTGTATTTATTGGGCTCTCAACAGCTGATTAGAAAAATATTTTAATATTAAACATCTCAGTTTTGAAATAAAGCCGATGTTTGTCTGGATAGTTTGCCGCATAACTATCTATAGAGGGAAATGGTTAGGGCTTATATACTTATGTAAAACATTTGCAGTTAATGTTCTTGCAAAAAACTGGTACGGTTTATCAAGATTACTTCTTCAATAATAACGTTTTACTTCATATTTTATACATATCTGTTTTACTGGCTATTAGCAGGCAACTATTGTGATTTAATATAATATTTTACTACCACGCTCAGAGTAGGTTAACAAAGACAAATTTTTCAAACTAATTTAAACATCCATACGATTAAATAAGAAAATTGAATTTTCTAACCAGAGTTTTTAGGCGCAGAACAAAAAACTTAGAGCAAGTTTTCCACGAATTTTTTTTCACGGAACTAGTGGCAATTTGCCATCACTTTCGACTGATTCATTAAAATGAGTCAAAATGCGGATTTTTTTCACTTTAAAACTTTAAATTTTGGATAACTTTTGGCGAAATTGTATGATTTAGCTACCCGTTTCTGTTAAATACGTTCTATTAAGGCGAAATATGTTTGTGACACTAAGCTAATTGATTGTTAGAGCGAAATATAGCCAATAAACTTTAGGATTTGGAATGAATAGATGTATCAATCAATTAGTGTGTGTGTCAGTTACTTGGTATTCACGGCGTTTTCCTATTTCAGGCATCAACAATTCAATTTTACCAAAAGGGAAGCTTATTGGAGCATATATCATTTGAGTGTTTGCATTGATGGGGCTTAAGCAGGAGTAAATATTAAAGGTAAGTTTGAGGCACTATATTATTATATAACGCATATGTTACTGCCTGTCGTCTCTGTAATATCGCTAATAAATTTGTTAATGAACTAAGGTAAAACGTAGCACTAGTAGCACTAGAACTCACGAATAAGTACAATAATATTTAAGCCAGTTCCAAGGCCAAAAATTCAATAAAACAACTGAACACTTTTTACATTATATTTTAATAAACGATTCTTCTTCTTTGCATTTTTTGTGGTCAATTGGGAATGTTCTATTAGTAATACCGGGTTTATTCCATTGCTTACAATAATAGTAAAATAAAGTAAATGCGAATACGAAAAAAGCTATCGACATAAACAGTTGTGTGTTTGGAACTAGGATGGTCATTATGTACAATACTACACGTACGTGGACTGGCAATCCTTCAATTTCCTGAAATAGCAGCCTATTTGTATTAACTGAATGAGTAAAAGTGAATGCAGGTTCTTACGTATCCCACATAGGCAAATGGTAAGTTCATATTGGTAAATCGTCCCAATTTGCTTCCAAATGAGGACATATCTCGAAAAATCAAATTGATTTGAAATATTGCTCTACCGCCTAACGGTACACCTGAAAGCTGTTAAAGTATAAGAAAAATCTAGACGACTCTAATGTCAATTAAGTCGCTTTTATAATTAGTTTAGATGAAATCTTACCTTTTCCACATTGAGATATGTTAAATGCTTATCGATGTCTGGCTTCAGACCTTTCAGTCGGTTAGAAACAAGAGGGTCTGCGCTCATAAAATGTGGAAAACTGGCAGCAAAAGGATAACCTAAAACCGGGGAGCACAGCTTAGGCTTGAACGAGTATTTTTAGCAAACGCAAGGTGATTTCTGTGATCACAACGTTCACATATTTGTTCGCAATTAATGAGTTCAATATTTGCATTTGGTAATGTTATATCTACCATGGTAGCATGCTGACAGATCAGCTAGTCCATTTGGTAGTGGAGGGTCTCCCTTATAACAATCTTCATATTTAGGCTCAGTTCTGTTGAAAACATTCAAAGGAACTTCAAACCGATATCCATGCAATCCATAACGACTGACATCACCTAAAAAACGTTAGTTTTCTGAAATAATCATTGACTCATTCATTTCAAGTTTTGAACATCACTTAATACCTCAACGTTGTATAGCGGTAACGATTTCCACTTAAGTATTCCATTTTATTATTAAACCTACTACTTACTGGCATATACTCCATCAACTGCCTTACACAGTACGGCTTTCCACGCATTTATTTTATCAGATTTTGTTAAAAATTGAGGAAAAAGTGTGGTTTCTGAAGTACGGCTGAACGGTGGTTTGCATCTATTGAAGCCTGGCAGTGAATTTACCCCATCCACATTCTGAATGGTAAAAAAGTCTTTGTTCCCGTATTTGGGTCCAATAGCTACTGTTACATTATAGGAATTCTTCAAATACATCTGAAATGAGTTCAAAATTTACCCATTTTTTTTTACAAGCAATACATGAGAAGTTCGCGGTAGTGTTTATTAAAGCTATTTGACACCATTATATGCACTTAGGGTTGTATTTGCCGAGTTGAGAGGCAGTATTACTTTGTGATTGAGAATACCAGTAACCGACTAATGAAACAGAGGTAGGTACATAAGATTTAAGCTCCTCAGCTTATTTCAGTATCTGTGAAATTCATTAGGATATTTCTTTCAAAGTTCCCAATTGTAGTCCATTTTAGCGTCATAATCCGTTCAACTGCGTCGGTAACACCGGCTTTTTTCCTAATTATATTGTCTGCAACTCTGTCTCTGAGGGGTAAATTCAACATCGATCTCTCCATCACTCTATGTGCTACTTGCATTTTATTTGTCACCTTCCTAGGAGCGGTCAATGCTTCTCCTCCGTATGATAGAACCGGGAGCACAGACTGATCAAAGACTTTCCCCTTCAGACACATGAAGATGGTCTGATTTAAAGACATCCTTCAGTTTTCCGTAAGCTGCGCATGTCAGTACTATTCTCCTGTTCAATTCTGCGGTCTGGTTGTCTCTTCCCAGTTTAATCTCGTGGCCCTAATATTTAGAGGTATACACATGTTCTATTTGAGTGCCAGACGTTGAATTGTTGATGGCTAATAAAATGTTGGTCATGCATTGTGTATGTTTTAGAGACGTTAATTTTTAGGCCAACTCGTGCAGAATATCTCTGAAGGTCATAAAGAAGTTGGCATGCATGATCTACCCGGTCTGCAATAAGGACTATGTCATCTGCAAACCTTATGCTGTTGAGATACTCCCCGTTCATGTTGACTGCAATACTTCCCCAAATGTTGTTCTTCATATCGCTCTGCAGAAGGGCGGTGAATCCTCTTCGAGAGATAGTGTCTCGTTGTCTAATAACTTTCGCCAAGGTGAATTTGTTTGTGTGACCATAATACGTTCTTTCTGTAGCTGTTGCGTAATTAGAAATATTCTGAAGAAGGGTCGCGAATCTCTGATCAATAACGTACTCTGCAAGCGCTCTCAACAATAACAACTCAACGGTATGCTGGGTCAAATGCCTTCTGAAAGTCCACAAATATCAGCATTAATGGGGTGTTGTATTCTGTAACGTTCTCTATCAGGGACTTTATTACTTGTAGGTAATCGATCGATTATTTGTTCCAAATTCACTTCTAAATCCGGCTTGTTCCAGTGGTCGGTGAAAATCTAGCTCAGGTTCCAGTCTATTAGTAATTATTCCCATGAAAAGTTTATACACTGATGGACAAAATTAGCGCACCACCTACACATTTTCGAATAAATCATTTTTTTCCCCAAATAGGCTCGTAAATAACTAACCCAAGTAACACTGGACAGTACCTATTGCTTTTAGTCTCTTTCCATTTATTTCAATGCAAGCTTCTGCTTGTTTTGTGTCATTCGCCACATTTCATCATTGTTTTCAGCAAGCGTGGTACTGTTTTCGATTCAATTTTCTTTCGTTTTTCCTAACTTCTATGTGTAATGAAAGTGTTTTCGTATTGAAATGTCCACACGAAGAAATTTACGTGAGTTTTGTGCGGTCAAAATTGTCACCTCTTTGGAGGAAGGGTGTTCCCAACGTGATTTAGCCCGAAGGTTGGGTGTTCATCACACCGCCATCGGTCGATCTCTTCAGCGTTTTAGGGAAACAGGTTGCTATGCTAGCCGACCAGGGTAAGTCCGAGCAAGATCCACAAGCCAAGTGGACGATTGTTCTTCAAGAATGGCACAACATACCTCAGAAATTCATTACAAACCTTTTTTATGGCATCTCAATACATTTAAGGGACGTTATTCGAGCTAGAGGCGGCAATACACCTTATTGAATTGGTAAAACACGGACAGTACCTGAATTTCAAAATGTATTTTCATACATTTTTAAGAAATGCTGTGTTCTCCAGGTGCTTTGTTGCATGGTGTTGGTTATATCTGGAAGTTCCTCAAATGTTTGATTTTGTATTACTTGGATTTGTACTTCATGGAATCATCTCGACTATATAGTGCTTTATTGTATTCTCCGATGATTTCTAGAATATCTTGTTGTTGGTAAATAGTGTGTCCTGGCTTATTTCTCAGCTTGTAAATGTTCCTAGTTCCTGTCCTCTTCCATAGTTTTAGCTCTTTTAGGCTTTTGTGTTGTTCTATGGTATTGTCATTGTTTGATAGATTTAAAATCTCTCAAATCCTACATTTAGAAGGTAAAAGATAAAATGCAGATAATTTTAACACTTAATTCCTTGCAACAAAGTAGTTTGAATTAAACAAACGCCAAATAGAAAATAGAAGGGTGTACAGAAAAATAACTTGTCCGCTAACATAATCTGTATTTGCATCATGATGATGCGCCGATCTGAAACCGTTTTCAGAATTTACACATATATGGATAGTTTGTTTCAAGTTTAGTTTAAATAGCTATGCTTTCGTTTAGTTGAATTTAGACTTATCAATGACAAGAATGGTATTAAGCCGATTGTGATGTTCAACTGCTGGGTACAATTTGTTCAAATCATTATTTGTCTATGAAGGGCGCATCAGCACAGTTTAAGGTGCATAACCGAGGAAATAGAAATAAATTGTACCAGGGGGAAACGACGCAATATAAGAAAACAGTTCAAAGCCAAAATTGTCGAAAATCGAAAATTAGTAACATTGAAGCTGATTAACAGAAAGCAAGCTTACGTAAATTTCCTAGTTATAAAAATATACTTACTTGGTTCAAAACTCCAACATTAGTAGATGGTACCAATTTACCATTGAACAGTCTAGCATCTTCCAACAAAGCGCTGGATGCATTGTGCAGAAAATCGTATATACTCATCTTAACAAATGGCTCACTTTCATGCTTGTACAACAATACTTTTATGGCGGTCCTGGTGAAATATGAGGAATCGGAGAAATATGAAGTCATTACCTACAAAGAAATTAAAAACAGTTTACTCCACAATAAAGTGCAACTTTTCTTTAATATGCTTGCTATTTAACATGTTATATTTGAAGTATTTTAGATAATTGACCCGAGCTTAGAACATATCTACCGTAATAAGGTGTTGCGTTTCATCAGTTTATTTTCCCAATTTTTTTCTGCCTATACGCTATACCGTGCATCGAACATTACGTTCACTTACTCAATTCAATTATCTCAATCTTTATACAAATAACTTAATATATACATTAATATGAAATTCTATCAGTACTACTTACCAACATTGCTAAATTTGGTGCTATAATTGTGTCGTTGATATCAATGGTGTTAAGTTCTGGAAGATAATGCAATCTTCGTGTAATCGTGTACGTTAAGGTGCTGTTTTCATTGAAACGTATGTTACTGTGACGAAATTTCTCCCTAGAAATGTGAAATATACAATTTATAGTGCTCACATATCCGACAGACTGTAGCGATAGATCTAAACCACACCATTTACTTTCTCAAAAACGCAAGTCCGTTTCGTCATAAAATGTACATTGCTCATAATCAAATTTAATATATTTGAGCAATAAGCTTTACGCACGCTTTCGCAGATATAAAATAAATAACTTGCCTGTATACAATAGGTCCGATTTCCTGTAAATGCAAGTCATAATCTGATCCATTCAGAAATCGTTCCGAATTTGTTACATTAAAAATATATACTTTAGCTAGAAGATTTTCTGGTGGTTCTGCCCACATCGTATAAGGAGGTGTACCTAAAGGAAAACGTATATTAAATGTTAATATGCTTTACCACTTAGTTGCTGATATTGTAAAATGATCGTAAAAATTTGCTCCCTATAATTCTCTATTAGGCCAATTGCATTAGGCTTCTGTTTTTGAAAAAAAGTCGTTTGCTATACTCTTGGAATCAGGCAGGATCAATCGAATGAAAAAATGCATTTAAAAATCGAACAGAAATAATTAAAAAACATGTTTTCATTTTTAATCAGTAATACAATTTAATTGATATTCCTAGAGTAAATAAGTGTCAATAATTGTGATAAATGGACAATAAACGCTCATTTTGAATTGTTAGATAGTTCGACGAAACTGATACACTTTATTTTCAAGTGATATCAATTTAACAGTAATATGCAGGAGCAAAGTATAAAAAACAAACAATCAATTTACAGAAAATTACTTTTCGTTGATGATTTAGTCTTTTTTATTTATAGATTTTTAAATCTGGAATAGTAATTTAAGCAGTCATTAAAGTTATATCAGAGATCCTGAAAGTGAATTAATATAAACCATTTTATAAAAACACTGAATCCAATAATTAATTTTCCAATTAATTGATAATATTAAATTGACAGAAATAAATATTAATGGGTGAACGAACATCAAGATTAATGTATATTTTCATCAAAAATTTTACTCGCAGATATTTCCTCACAGGGTGTCGAAGCTTGACCCTTGTTAAGATTTTTGGTCATTTCTAAAAATAACTGCTTGATTTCGGGTTTTATTTTTGAGATTCGAAAATTTAAATTAATTTCGAATCCGGCGCGCTTGCATTAAAATTGTATACGATGACGATGCAACCAAAATATTTTTTCCGGCTGCACCCGTTTGGCAACTAGGTGGATACTTTACTGGAATACTTGACATTTGATGATGTCTGATCCACCACTAGCTTCAACTATAAGATTTTGGCACATTAACTGTTACTTTCCCCTCTATTATTTTGCCCACATTGATATATCATTTACTCTCAATGGAGTAACGCATTATATTTTACAGATATTGTTAATCTCTGGAAACTGGATATTGTTAAAAACTGGAATCTTATTCTGGGACTCATTAACGTATACAGGGTTATTCACGCTATACGGCACGAAAGTTTGCGGCTAAACCGTTTGATTTTTAAAAAGTATTATTAGATGAATTGCCCGACGCCTACCGGGCGCACATTCTAAAAATATTTTTGTAATGTACAGGGTGTTCCAAAAGCTCTAAAAGTATCAAAGTTGCGTTTTTTTAAATGGAATGTCCTGTATATTATTGCATTTTTGGATTCGCTGAACAAAATAAGTGTCTGTTTTAA